CTTACTATCTTCTTTTGTTAGTTATCATCACATGTTGGCATAAGCGGGAATGACCGTGCTGATGTTACGGCTAAAACCACTCAAAATGTAAGCAATAATCTTATAACAGCTCTTGATTTTAAACGAATATGTGAATCTACAGTACAACAGGCTTGGAAAGAACATTTCAATAAACAACTTAATAATAAACTAATTTATCCTTATCTTGAGAACTTTAAAACAATATATCGCTCATGTGCTGCAATAGCGGCACAACTTAAAAAATCATGTTTTGAGATAAGTGGGTTTAAAGTTTTCATTGCTACTGAAAATGCGTAAGAAATGCTTTAGTTTGCTTAAACGAAAATTACCTTCAAGTTTAATTATGAGTTGTTGAGTATTGCGGCTGAAAAGAATGTGTATTTTCCTATTTACACCTGTTCTTAGTCTAAAACGCGTGTTTTTTTAGTTGTGCCACTATTGCAGCCCATGAGCGATATGTTGATCATAAAACCCCGGTTACAATCACTAGACTGCATATTGGTCATTCCCGTTTTACCCACATGCATTTACTAAAATCTGAACTTACCCCTAATTGTTCTCTATGTCGTGTTGACATTAGTATTAAACATATTTTAACAAACTGCAAGCGATTGAAACATTTGCGATTCAAATCTTCAATCATTGCTTGGTGACTCTATATTTCCCAACTTTTTAAAGTTTATCAAGACTATAGGCTTTAGTCTGTACTTTAAGGAAAAAAGCATATCAGTTTGACCTTGAGACTAGTTTGAACCTTGTGAATGGCGCAATATAGGTATTCCTGGCTTTTGTGCTAATAAACTCCAACCAACCATCCTTAGTTTTAGAATGTAGTTACTCGCGGTAGTAAAAGTAGTGTATTTCCATTTTTACAAATTAAAAGAATTCAATTGCATAGAAATATTTCAAACAGCTTTACTTAATATCAATTAGACGGGTGATCATGCTGTTATAATTTGAAAACAGTTTTATAAAAATTCTATTTGTATTAAAATTGCTTTAGTTCACTTCTGCTCAAAAAGGTATTTCACCATAACATTAAATATTGGAGGGTATGATGTAAAAAATGTTCATAAAATTATAATTTTTAGATTTGTTAAAAAAGGAAGCTTCAAAGGGAATATTAACTGAATTATTTATCCCCCACCTCCTAAAACTGTTCAGAGTTTGTCTACCGCCTCAACTCAAAGCAACGCTGGAATCTGGACATTACTTTTCTACGAGGGAAATATAGTTCTACTTTTCCTTCATTGCGATCACGAAAATTATTGTTGTCAACATTGCATAACTGTGAATGAGACTTGAACAAATTTTCTTGAATGAATTCTTTTTATTAAAAAGGAGCTTTGCTGATAATATAATTCATATAAATAGTAGTAAAATAAACTTTAGTTTTTGATGCTTTTTTAATGTTCAGAAAAAGAAATGTAGGTAATAAATTAAAAATTGTTCTTACCCAAAAGGAAGACCATTATAAAGCAGAAAATAAATACTTTCATCATGATTCAGTACGTTGTTTAAAAAAATTTTACGCAATGTATGTATGTTCATTTATACCTCAGAAATAACAGTGGAGAATATGTTTGCAGTTACAACGCATACACATAGAAAATTTTTTTATATAAACAAAACATAATATTTTTTATCTATCACTTTATATTTGACAAATAAAAAGCCATCAGATTTGCACCTACATTTTAACCTTTATTTCCCGCTGTTTCAATAATAGATTTAATATTTTCGGAAAACTGATCCGTAATGTGAAATAAAAAAAAGTGTTTTTTTTTTTTTTTTTGGTAGTAAAATGGTATATATTATATAATCTATAATAAAATGGGAACAAGACTGGGCAAGATTAGTTGCACAATGATGTATAAATTAATTCTCATCCCGCGATCATTTTAATAGTATCTTTATTATTCAACTAAAATGCATAAATAATAGGAAACAAAATTAATTTATTGAATGTCTCTTTACTTTCAATAGCTGGAGTAAATATTTTTTTCCCCGAGTATTCTCGCTATAATAAATATTTGCCGAGTCAACTCGGCAAATACATACTCGAGTTAACTCGGGATAATCAGAGAAGTAGTTAACAGAAATTGTTGGCATTTGCCTCAATGAGGTAATTCCACTGAAGAAACTTTTAGGCTATTTCAGCCTTTGCGTATTCATTTGCTGTAATTATGTATGTCAACCTCTGTGGTTGATGTTGAATTAACCAGGATAAGCACCATCATATTTACCACAACTCCGCTTTTCAACCTGCCTGTCTACACACAACCTCCAAAATCAGAATCACTGAAGTATTCCAGAACTCCGAGTCTATAGCCTAATTTATTCAAAGTTGTGTTCTTCCCGTGATCTCGCGCCTCAATGGCTCCCCGTATCATGATGTCACAAGTTTAATACTGAAGAAAAACTGCTTCTCTAATCGCTGTATCATTCTAGAAATCTATTATAATATTAAAATTATTTAAGAAAAACTGCAAGTAATGATTTTTATCGGTCATTTCTATTTTTTTTAAAAACAATATTAGGCAGTATCTAGCATTTTTGAAGACAACATAATACTTAGTTTATAAAAGATTGGCTCTACCATTTTAATTTCATGTGCAACGTCCCAGCAGAAAACAATTATATTGTAAAATAATAAAATCCTCAACTTTTGCATAAATCCTTAGGTATTTTTACAAACAATAGATTTTCATTATCGAAAAGTCTCGATTGTAACAATCTTAGAATTTGTTTATTTTACTTTTCTGATTTTCTTTCCTTTTTATAACAAAATAAAATCGTACAAATGCCAATATAAAAATTAATGCAATTTAATTTTAAAATTTGACATTTTATTACTATTTACATTGCAACTGTGTTGGTAAATTTCTGTCTCTAACGTTAACAATCATTCAAAAAAAAATTTTGGAAATTTATTATTCGATAGTAAAATTCCGTATCTAGACTAACGATCGATCCTTTGTGGCCTTTTAAATAAAACAGTTAATCAGACGTTAGTTACTTAGATAATGAAGATTATTATTTTCATTATCTAAGTAACGAACTTCGATTATTATCTTCATCAACTTGAATTGGAAATGGAAAACTTGATGTGACGAGAACTGATAACACAGCATGAAAAATATATTTTCTTTTACTCTTTATTTTCTGAGCTACAAAAGAATATATTCATGATTCAGTAGAAAGAATATATTATATAAAATACATATATATATAAAGAATATATTCCATTAGCAAGAATTGAATTTTTCATTTTCATCAAGTTGTGTGTGGCATTTAAAAAAGCATATGTTAAGTATTTCTTATTTAGGAAAAAAAATCCATTTAATACGATATTGATTTTATAATTTGAATGTGTGATACATAAGATACATGTTATTAGAATATTTATCGTAGTCTATGACTCATGTTCTATGCTAGAGCTTAACATCTGAATGTGTTTTACAGAATGCAAAGTTTTTTCAGTATTGTAAAGAAGGAAAACATACTTAGTTTTTCTAAGTATCTGAATTGGTAACATCCGCATAGAAATCTTATTGAATATCTTAAAGTTGCTGGATACTTCCAAATTTGCTCGTTTGTATGTCATCCAACTCTATGCATAAGGAAACCTCCATCAAAGACGAAGTCAGCATGCATTATTTCCGTAAAAGTGACTTGAGTATATAATGTTTTACACCCATTCTATTGTAAAAAATTGTAATAATGTTTATGGACCTAATTCAAATCTGAAATAATCTGTGAAAAATGGTATCAAGATCGACACTGAGTAGTGTGTTATTGATTTTGAAAAAACATCATCACAGCTCTCGGCAACATTACTTTTTTTTCCGGGAAAACTTACCATAAAGTAACAATCTATACTTATTTGTCATTGTTATCTGACAGTACTTTAACTGTGACTTTCAGATTTAAGCAATTTTACTTGGAGACGCACCACCTGCTTACTTAATACTTTGCTTCGAAGACCTAGGATTTTATAACTTAACTTAGTTCAAATTTTAATAAATTGACCAGTTTTACCTAGTTATATTGATTTTAGCCAAATTACTTTAGCTTAATTTGGTTGTTTTTATTTTAACCAAGTTTCTTCAAACTCAACCTTGTGTTTAAAATTTAACCAAGTTATATTAATTCTAACCGACTGCTCCATCATATTTTAATCATTTGCCCTTATTTTAACCAACATCATATCACCTATTTTGGTAGCTCCATTTTATGTATGAAAGACTTGTTAGATGAAACTCATCATTCTAACATATTTGCATTTTTACAAGTGATTGGTATTCTAAATTGTATATAACTGTTTTATTGCATTTACAATTTTATCAAAATTTTATTAACTTTTATAAGTTATACCTATGCAATTTTATTAGTAATCGCCATGTTATCATATCGCTCATGGGCTGCAATAGCGGCACAACTCAAAAAATCATGTTTTGAGATAAGTGTGTTTAAAGTTTTCATTGCTATGGAAAATGCTTTAGTTAGGATTTTTTTTTTTAATTCTGAAATATTTAGCTTGCCGTTGCAAATTCATATTAGGCACTGGCGCGGCTCTTGTTTGGTTTAATTTGACTGATAGCTATGATGATAACATAATTAGTGTTACCAGTAGTTCGATTTCATAATATTGGAAAAACAATTTGCATGGAATGATATTCTATACATTATACTTTCTCGGCTTGATTAGGAATCTTTCTGCATAACTCTTATAATTATTTATCAACTTAATGTTTACTTTGATGTATCAGTTGAAAATTCGAAGCGTATCAGGATGTTTTAAACGCATTTCATTACAGGAACTTACTACAGACGTTTCTAACTACGACGAAGAATAATTTCATTACTTCAGAGTAACCCAGATTTTATAATAGCAATAAAAGTAACTAATCATTTAGTTATTTTTATCTCCCGTTTATTCAATGTCTTATTGTTTCATGCAAAGAGTTAGGTAGAGAAATTCCCGTTGTGTTAAGTGATAACGATTCACATTATGAAGAATTATCAGACTCGTTATCAAAAAACTGTAAAAAAACGCCTTCGAGATATCAGAAGCAAGTTCTAACAGCATCTAGTCTAACAGAAAAACACTCTGGTATAAGAATACTTAAAAGGTAAATATTGTTTTATGTTCATTTTGCATATAATTTTACGAATTTTTTTTATGTTCAATAATTGCAAAACATAAATCGTAAATTAATTCGCAAGTTTTGTATTTTTTTTTTTCCTTTTTTAATTTTCGGCAGCTAGTGCTATTAAAAAACCGGTGTTTGTATCATGCTTAATTGTATGATTCTATTATGAAGTAAAACACTTTCGTTTGTATTTTTACATAATATTTAATAAGAGAGTAGTAACGGGAATTTTAAATAAAAGTTAAATAAAAGTACATATATATATATACTGAATTTTTTTTCTAACTAAGTTTTGTTTTTAAAATCAAATAAACTAATAAGGGAAAATTATAAAGCAAGAAACAAAAAGTAAGGAGTTCACTACATCCGTTACGCAGGCAATTTAACTAATGGTTCCCAAACTCCTCCTTTTTATTACACATTATTCAAATAAATGACTGAAAAATATTATGTAGTAGCAAAAAATTTGTTATTTTCCATTACTCTTTGTCTTGCGTACAAAAAAAAAATTTGTAATCTTTAGCTGATGAGCAATCCTCAACATCAGATACGCAAAAACTTCCCGACTCTCAGATAATTTTTCCTGAATTTCTGTTATTCCGCTTTTTAAACCTGTCTAACCTGCCATTCGAGCACATAAAAGTAGTCTCACAAAGTCGCTTAGCAAATTCATCGACATTTGTTTAGATACTTCGATTGGTGAACCACTTCAGTAATGCTTCTTCAACATCCTTGTGATCTGATTTTCTCAACTTTTTTCTGCCATCTAAATTTTTTCTCAGAGCAGAAATTATTAATTGCCTATTTTTCCATATGTTACAAACTGCAGACTTGGATAGTTCATATCCCCTACAAATATCAGCTTGATTGCATCCATTTTCAAATTTTCTGATTATGCCCATTTTATCATCAATTGAGAACGTTTTACGTTTACTGCTCGCCATAGTTAAAATTGAGACACTTGTTTGCAGGATTTTTTAAACTGAACTGAGAGCAAAAAGGAGTTGAAATGAGGGCCTTATCAATATAAAATCATAATCGGACTCTAGTCAGAGAACTTGAGAAAGTGTCCCTAGTATTCCTTTTCTAAACACACCACACGCAGCTATGCTTTTCGAAAGTGTAATCAGACGGACATTTTCCCTTAAAAATAATCAATCTTTCCTGAAGGAATTCACACCTATTTGAGAACAGAGTTGTAAGGGTTACAAAAATCGATTCAAAAATTAATTTTGATAGAATACACATATTTCCAAATAAAATGGATTCATTGTGTAATGTTTATGGAATAACATATATGGTAAACAAATGCTACAGATTTTATAGTATGTACATTTGATTTGTCGAAATTTTCAATAACTATATTGAGTAAATGTACACTGACTGAGCAAAACTCATGGGATACCCACCTAATATCTGGTCGGGCCCCCTCTGGCCCTGCGGAGTGCAGTGATACGACGTGGAGGTGAGTCTGCAAGGCTCTGGAACACATCCGGAGGTAGTTGGCACCACACATCCTGCAGAGCGGCAGCCAATTGTGACCTGTTCGTGGGTTGAGGATTCAATGCCCTGAGCCTGACGTCGAGGGAATCCCAGATATGTTCAATGGGGTTCATATCAGAACTTCGAGGTGGCCAATTCAGTCGTTGGATCTCACCTGCATGCTCGTCGAACCAGGCACGGACGATATAGGCGCGATGTGGGGCTGCGTTGTCATCTTGATACACAGCAGGTCATCAGGGTGTTGAAACATGACAAAAGGGTGGAGTTGGTCTCCAAGCAGCTGAAGATACCGCTGACCAGTCAATGTGGCACCCAGAACGACCAAGGGGCCCATTTCATGCCACGAAAATGCACCCCACACCATGGCTGATAGGCTACCGCCCTGGACTGTGACCACTTGGCATGCTGGATCCATCGCTTCGTGCGGTGTGCGCCTCACACGGTGCCTCCCATCAGCATGGGACAGTTGATAACGTGATTCATCAGACCAGATCACGTTACGCCACTGTTGCAGTGTCCATCCGTGGTGATTGGTGGCAAATGCACGCCGAATTGTCCGATCACGCTGGGTTAACAGTGGCACACGTGTGGGGTGACGGCTCTAATACCCGAGAACACGCATGTTCCGACGGACTGTTCACTGGGACACGTCTCTATCACGGCCAGTGTTGAATTCAGCCGTGATTTGTTGCACATTTGCTCTCCTATCTCGAGTTACCACTCATCTCAGGTTTCGCCTGTCTCGGTCATTTAAGGCCTGTGAACGCCCGGTATGGTGTCTGTTGTGGACTGTGACACCCTCATTCACCCATTTTCGGTAAACTCTCGACACGGTTGACCTTGGGAAGCCGAATTCCTGAACCACTTCCGAAATGGAATGTACCATGCGTCGTGCACCCACAACCATGCCGCGTTCGAATGCCATCAACTCACGACGGTGTTGCATTTTACCTGATCACTCACACAGCCACTTCAAGCAATGTCTAACACCAACTGGAAATCAGACGGTAATAACTCAATGAAAACACGTTATTTTCCGTAGTTCTCATCAATCATTATATTGGAAACATTATATTACACTATTGGTACGAAATTTATATTTCATGAATTTCAGTTATCACTTTAAATATCATCGCAAAATGAAAATGATATTCAAATAAGTCCTTTAACTTATCAACTAATCTAGTCAAAATTTGTTGATTATCATCATTTTGTAGCGTGAATCAGTTTTCTATATTTACAATAGTTTAAAATAGATTCATCCGATAGTGTTATCTTAACTATATCAACCTTGTATTTTTTCCTACATTTATCAAGTGATTGAGAGTAATAACGATAACATCGAACATTTTTTTAAAAATAGTAACTTTTTTTTAAATAGTAATAATCGCAGTTTGACTTGCTGTAAAACTTTAGTTTAACATAGCATGCCCTTTTTTGAAACCACGCGTTTTAATCCCTTTTATTGAAATACTTGGACACATGCGCTCATCTGATAACATTGTTCGATTTAAATAATGTTATCAGATATACACTATTTAAAATTTCAATTCTGTAAGCGTTGATATTTACGTTGATGAGTGTTTTTAATTTTACAATTATCTTTATTCTATGTGAAATATGTTTTGTTAACACATGTATCTATAAATACTGCAGGAAGCAATAGAACCTCTATAATATACTGGTATTTGTGTTATGTCTATGCACTTACGAGGCAGCAGAGACATGATGGGACATCAAGAAGAAGAGTAAGTATTAAAGATTTCTTTCACTATTCCTGAACTTAAATAATATTCTTAAAAAATGTTTTAAGGTGTACCAAGGATTTACCAAAAGGTTGTAAAAAGAGTATCAAAAATGTAGACGTTTTAAAATTCGTATCCTATTGCACTATTTTGTAAAATTTAGAAAACCAGAAAAGTTTCATCCCCGTTTTTGACGCTCTATTTATGCACTTATTTTATTTTATAATTTAATTAAAAACCTTCAGAGTACTCATTTTTGTATTTATTTCTTATGTAATGTCTTATATATTTCGTGTAACTTTATTAGATTTACACATTTCGACTGATTTTCTTCACTATTGAACATGCTTGCTTTGCTATTTTCTGTTTTATCAATCTCGTGTATTTATAACGATGCAATTGTATTACATACTTTATATGTAACATTTTGTATGCAACATATTGTTCGGCACAGAATGTCTTCTTTTGGACTTTTTGCCATTGAAACTTACATTCAATTCAATTCAGTTACTAAACGATTGGCTTCTTATTTTTTTAAGAAAGAAAATGTTACATTTAATTATTTTTTGTACTTAACCTCAATCTGAGGCTCCGTGTGAAACATAGTTCCTAGGTGTAATTTAATTAAATACTAGGAGGCTTCGCCCCCTGCTCGCTCGCGCTCGCCAACCCCCGGAACTGCTTTCGCAGTTCATTTCGGATTGCTTCGCAATCCGATGCTCGCTTTGCTCGCTCATTGGATACGTTCTTAACGTCTAGCTTTTGTATACTTTTTTGAACACTGAAGTTCCGAAAACTTTTCACTGTAGAAAATTCTAAACCTGTGCATTTCAATATTAATTTGAAATTGCAAACAGTTCACATATTTTTCTTAATCACACTATTCTAAATTTCAGTTGTTGAGAAAAGTAACTGTTGTAAGTTTTGTTTTAAAGTCTTTCCCACCAGAGGGCTAAAACCATGTGTTGTAAAACAATATGAAATAGTACTGAAAGCCGGATGTAAAGCATCGGCTTCGATGAAGACTATTTTGTGAGAATTTTTTTGATAATTCGGTGAGAATTCACCCGATTAGACATATGATGCTCAATAAGTGCTCTTCCTCGCCGAAGCCCATCAATTAAAAATGAAAATTGTTGCCAACGCGAGAAAAGAAATATCATCGGTTTTATTGATAAACGTGGCAGTTTTATTTTAACCCAAGAAGCTTTTTGGGAAATACTTGTATTTGTTACAGCGATATGTTTGTTTCTCCTTTCTATATTAACAGCTTTGTTATTTTATTCAATTATATATATATATATTTCCAAAGTGGGGAATTAATAACTTTTGTTAAATTTTATCATTGATAAATAAGACTCCCTCTGATATACTTATCTGATTTATTTAATTTGTCATTTTTTTCTTAAAATAAAGTTCAAAATCTAGCTATTTCTAACTTTTGAACTATTTACAGAATAACTAATAATTCAAATGATAATTATATTGTTTTTACAAGATACTTATTAACAATTAAGAAGTACTTCTAAAATTATGGTAAATCACTTTATGTAAATAACTTATAGTTTCTGTATAATTCGATGGTGTGCTTTTTATTTTGGACGTTAATGAAACCAGGCACAGCAAAAGTGTCCCAATTGAATGTTAACGAACCTAATTTTTTAACGTTAGTCAAAAAAAAAAACGTTCCAAATTAGCTTAGTTATTTTAACACTGCCCCTAATTTTTCATTCATAAGTTTTTTAAGATATAATTGTCCTATCAGTAATTTAAAAGTTAAAATCAAAATGTTACATCCATTATTTTTTCTGTCGTGTATAACCAGCTATATACATTAACGTGCTTTTTGAGCTGTATTAATTTCCTCATTTAAGCGCTCTACAAACAAACGATGGTCAATTTATTAAAATCCCAATTTGAACTACGTCTAAAATAAAATGTGCACTCGCGAAATGTTTAGATATTTATTTTGTTTTAAAAACTAGTCTCTAGGAAAAAGAGCCCAAAAAATTATTAATATTAAAAGTGTTTTACTGTTATCTAAGAATACACAATGATAATTTACAGTGCAAACAAGTTTTATTGCGGCCGCAATTTTATCTCACACTGATGAGTTGAAAATCAAAAAGATCCGTAGATTCATTCTTAGAAAACTTAGTTGATAAAAAGAGGCTAAACGGATGGTTATTATTAGAAATGCAATTTTTAAGGAGTGATAGAGCATATTGAAGGACTTTTTGCAGGGAAACATAACGTCACTTTTGTAGATGATTATTTTTTGGGAGAAATTTGAAATAAATTGGTTGAATCGTTCTGGAAATATATGATATCCCTCATGGGCTGCAATAGTGGCACAACTAAAAAAACACTGGTTTTGGACTAAGAACAGGTGTAAATATAAAAATGCACATTCTTTACAGCAGAAATACTAGCACAACTCCTAATTCAACTTGAAAGTAATCTTCGTTTAAGCATACTAAAGCATTTTCCTTAGCAATGAAAACTTTAAACCCACTTATATCAAAACATGATTTTTTGAGTTGCACCGCTATTGCAGCCCATGAGCAGCGATATATGAATAACGATAATTTGAAGGGGAAAAAAAGGTATTTACAGTAATATACCGCAATACAAAATTATATACCTCATAAATTATTAAATATATTGACGGAGTTATTGTTAGAAAATTAGACATCCAAAAAAAATTTTAAAATTTTTTTTTTCCTTTTATAATCTAGGTTCGGTAACATTATAACAAACTATTGTGAACATAGTTCAATCGTATTTTGAGGCACTTTGCCGCACTTTCCCTACAAAATGACAAATTACATCAAACTTGACTCAACTAGTAAAAATGACGTGTCCATAAGCAAAGAAGTTCATTTTGAACTTATGATGATTTTAAAATGAAGTAATTAGATTATGTTAAGTCGTTGTTGCTTTATTTAGTTATCAGTTCGCTGTTACACAATCTTATATGCATGAGTTTAATTTTAAAGCTTATACTAATTTTTTTGGTGCTCACCTTAACTTAAAAACCTTAAATGTATTATCTTTTGCATTATATCACTTTTCATATCGTCGTTCCAAAATATTCATAAATATTTTCTATAAAATAGCTATTTCTAAGTTGTACATACGGTTATATGCCACTTGAAATAACATTTTATTCACTTAGTACTGTTTTATCAGTTATATTTGTGCTACAATTAAAATTTTGTATACACTTAGGCTTTTGAACTGTTTCACCACATTGTTTGGCACAGCATGTCCTCGTTTGGCCCTTGTGCCACTAAACCCTACATTCGATCAATCAGCCACTTGAAATAATGAACAATAGTTTTAAATTTATATTATTTTCACTTTATATTACTTTCAGTTTCACATTAGTTTCTCAAATATTTATTATGACCTAAATTTCGAGTATTACTGTAAAAATGTCACTCACTAAAATAACATTAGGATACTCAATAAGCTTATCAATTCAAAAAAGTATGGAATATTAAATTTTCTAAAACTATCATTTTGTGCAAACAAAGAAATAATTCTTTCATAACACGTAGCAAGGTAGATGGCTAAAGTTCGTATTATCTTCTCTACAATAAGTGCTTCTTATCTCTTTACGATAGCAAACATATTTCAGCCATATTTCTTTTTAAGAAGAGGTCTTCGCGCTTTTGAAAAGTAAAATTCTCTAATATGCCATACCAATCTCACTCCGATGATTGCAGGTAAAATTAGTTTTTTATTACATAAGTTTTAAAATAACACTGCTTTCTTTTGTTTTCAGATTTCGTGATCATTAAAAATTCTAAGTTACCTATTTAAAATCAAAAGAGACATGGATTACTTTGTTTTGAAGTCTGCGTGTTTTTATTGGTAGCCAATCTTATTTGTTGGGTTTAAAGGGTTACGTTCGTTTTCATTTGAAGGTTTAAATCACTCTGTCGTTAAATTCTAAGTACAAAAGTGTTCTTATATATTCTTGAGCATAAAAAATTAACAATTTAGTCTTATTTTATATGTTAGTTTCATTTTCTAAGGCTATTTATAAAGGGTGGGGCATGAACATAAGCTGTAACAACCATGCACTCAAAAATCGTAGTAAAATGAGAACATGTGGTTTTGAGTTTCGATAATGGCTGTATTTTTGAGGATTTTAAATTTATTGAATTAACACACCGATCAAATTTTATATTTCTAGAGGCAACCTGTCTTTTTTTTTTAAATATTTTTCCAAAGCAGACAGATCTAGCTCTGTATAATTATAACTGTTTTGAGTTATATATAACTATATGGAGTTTGAGTTGTATAATATAACTATTTGAGTTATATATTGTAACTGTTTTGAATTAATAAATTTTAATTTTCCTGTGAATGTGCCTGTAATCAAATTTTTTAAACTTTCTTAACGACACTTTTCTTAATACCATATTTCTTTACGTTTATGTTTTTTGTAAGTCTGATGATTCCAATTTTACAAGTTTTGTATTTTTCTAAAAATTAAAGAGTTACAAAATTTGAGACATTGTATCTACATTTGAAAGTTTAAAGTGCATGACTCTAGCTTTATTATACAACTAATAAATATTAAATTTTTATATATGAAAGGCACATAGTGCACCAAAGTAAAATATGTTTTTTGAAACTTAAAGCAAAATGCTATTTTGCATATTGCTGCAATGTGATTTGAGTATTATACTAACACTTAAAAATTTGGACCTTGTGCCATAAAAAACCAACTTATAATTCAACACTTAAAAACTTTTTTTTAACACTTTTCAAGCTGATGAAACTTTTTAATACAGGAATAAGACAGAAAAAGTGATATAAATAATATTAACAAAGTATTTTTTTTCTCAAAATTATTTAAACAAAAGAAATAAATGGGTGTAAATTCAAGAATATTTAAATATTCTTGGTTGGGTTTTTTCCAGTCTAATGTGCCAAACAAAGGTTCATTTGTATAAACTGTGGGATTTTAAAACAAATATTTATTTGAGTTTTTCTAGTAAAGTAGAGTTAGTATTAAAAGGATTATAAGTTAAAGGTAAATAAATTTATCTAGTTATAAACACCGTTTTGGAAAACTGAGACATGTGACGGATAGTGAGACAGCAAGTCAAACAAGTTCCAACAACGCCCAAGATAAGTAAATAAATATTGTGTTATTATATGATTATGAGTACTTATGGTACAATTTGCCATATGATTGCAATAAGTATCATATACTTATCAACAATTTAAATAACTGAACTGTTCATTTACCAATATACCGTAATTAAAATTTGTTAACGTTGTACCATAATATCGGTACTTTGAACCATAATACTACATCCTTAATAAAGCATTGATTAATTTTATGTAATTTAATTTAAGAAGGGATCAACTTAAATGGTATTATGGTTCAACACGTAACACTGTATTGAAGTCTAAGTTAATTGGAACGATATTATGGTTCGATATTTTTAAAATGAATTTATGAATATATTTCCATTACTTAATGATTTTTATAAGACATTATTTCTACTGATTAACTAACTAAATCTAAAATAGGTCCTGCAATATATGACGAATTTTTCTTTTAATATACATTTTATTACTTTAAATTGATAACATTACTTTTTTTTAAATGATATTGAGACTGTGTGTTATGTTTTCGATTAGTGTTCTAGCATGTATAGTGAATATGCTTTCACTTCATAAAACGATCTGGGAGAATTTTTTTGTGTTTTAAATTTCTTACCCACATCGTAATTTAAAATTCGTTTCTGTTTTTCGGAAATTTTGTCAATCTAACAATCAATACAAACTTCTGCCGTGTTGAATATCCAATCCACACAAGAACTGAAGTTCTATATACATACTTTTTAACGTTTACAATGTTTGTTAAATGTTTTTCGACTTGGTTGTGGATTAAAGCAGTAATTTTTAGACTATTTTTCAAATTTTTGTAAACAGTTAGAAATATAACTTCGTTGATTGCCCTGAGGGATCACTGCATTTTGGCCTCGCCTTTCATCTCTTCTGACCACCATTTCCTTTTTATACAACCTTACCTTGATTCTTTTCTTCACGGATTCTACGTGACATTATTAAAGTCGTTTATGGAACATTTATGCACTTTCAACTTCATCCCACAAATGCTCAATAGTATTGAGATCTGAGGATTGTGGCGTGCTCTCTATAACTGGGCGTGCTCTCTATAACTCTCTCCTATAACTGGGGAATTTTCAGAAAATAACTTAATTATAAGTAACAAAATTAATGTTTTAACGAATTAGAAATAAAAAAAAATTTTGCGGGGCTATCGCAAGAATACTCCTTCATATTCCTCAACACCACTCGTTACTGTGATAGCAGTGTGGCAGGACGCGTTAACCTGATGAATCTACTCTTGCAATCAGGATAAATCAACATCATTTTTGGATGCCCTTGGTAAACAAAGATGTTTCGGTATACTCAAAATAACGACCGCGTGAATCATGCCTGCACTTTTAGTCTTCTAGTATCAACACATTAACGCAATAGCTCAATTTTATATAACAGCCTGGTGTTTATAATGAAGTGTATAATAGGTTATCAGTAAAGAACAAAATATTGCATTGTAGCGACGAACTGTAGTAATAGTTGAAGGCAATTTTAAAAAATGCGTCTATTTTTATCCATGTGATATTGCTTAAGAAGCGTTTGTTATTGTACACAATGCCGACTATATATATATATACTATATATTTACCTTTAAGGATTATATTTACCTTTATTCACCTTTTTTTTAACCATTAAGGAATGAATGGTGCCATGTTCACAGCATTCTGAATATTAAAAAAAAAAAAAATTATCCATTACCGCTTTTGGTAAAATAACACTGAATCAATCTTTCCTTGCTCTGGTCGTAGGGTGGTAACGATCGGAAACAATTTAAAAAATGGTAGATAACGTTTGAAGAAACAGACTTTACTACTTTCTATCTATTCATTTAAATTTGTAAATTAAAGGGAATGCACCCCGATGTTAAAACCAGGCAACTTAATTCCTAAATGTAAAGTGAAATTAAAACCTTTAAAATTGATATGAGCCTTTGAAATTATTTGTTACCACTTTATAAAAATTTTCCCGGTTGAATTGATAACGTAGTTGTAATTAACATATCAAGAATCATTTGATTTGCTGGTCGTTGTTTTGAATAACAGTAATGCACTAAGATTAAAATATTGATGATCAACTTTTTGATAGGGAAAATTTTTTAAATTTCTTATGAAAATTTAAAAAAATGAACTTTGAGAATCATTAATATGTACTGTGCCAGAATGTAAACAATTTATGTTTTTATTTCTAAAATATTTATTTTACTTTGCTTGAAATGAAACCTAGTAATATCTTTGAAAATTTTATCTTTTCCTTGAGCGATGATAAAATTCAATTAATTTCATAATAGATAAATTTCTTCGCAGATAAAACGCATGTTATTTACGCCAGAAGAATTTTATATTTTTAGATATATTTAAAACACGACCGAAGCATAGCGCATTGTGAATTATGATGTGAAGCTAGTATGGCTTAAGTTTACAAGAACCGTCACAGCAAATCAATCGAAATATCGATTATGTAGAAAATTAGACAAATATTTAGCCTTTAAATTGATTTAAGTTTATACAAAAATGATACTTTTTTTTAATGTAATTGATCTTACTTTTAAAAATGCCATTGGAAATGTTTGATATGCAACAGATAACCTAGCAGATTCCATATTTATTAGCTAACTACAAAAGTTTATATACTATACAGGGGCCTCGCTTTAACCCACGACTCAATCTTTTAACGAAAACCTTTGCAATTTTTGGGAAAAAAAGTGGAACCTAATTTTTAATTAATTCTAAGTTGCTTTTATCTGATTGAGAAAAACCGGTGTTTTGAAGACTATATAAATTCTTAGACTAACGACCTATAGCTTTTTGCTTAGAAAGTATTTTTTATGGGAGTTGTGACAAATCAAATTATAATTATTTTTAGATTCATTACAACGCGATATATTTGGGAATTTCACCATTTACGAATGTCATATTTGCACAATTTAAAAACACGTAATTCAGAAGAAATTAAACTGCTCTAATAATTTTTCTTATAATAATTCTTAGAGACTTTCATTACCTTTTTGTTTGAAAATCATTGTTTGGAGCAGCATGTCCTTTTCTACACGATAGGGTTTAATGACAGCATAAATGTTAGGCTTTATAATGGCTGGACCTTGTGCTATTAAACACTATATTTAATTCAATTCACGCAAAGAAATATCAAGTTGATTGCGAAAAATTATTTTTCATACGTTCTTAACCAAATGAACCAAACCTTACCAAATGAAATTTCTCTTGAATGGTGTTTAACAACTTTTTGAATAAGATTTAATCAGTTAGTTGATTTATCTAATGTATAATAAACTAAGGTTTAAGATTACAATAATTTAGCATATAAAAATTTGCATTAATTATTTTGCTGTTAATCAAATTTTTATCATTAGAGGTTGGTGGAAATCAAGAACTGGACTTGAACAGAAGCTATTAATCTTGTCAACTTTATTATTTATACTGTCTTTTGGCCTAACTATCTCGGTAATTGTACTCAAGAACAAGACATGTCCAGCATGTCCTGGTAAGTTTTATATTTAATTAATGGCTCTTATGGTACATAAAATTTAAAATATTATCTAAGCATATTTTGATGATTTTGGATTAACCTCATATATCAGCAATCGAGATAAATAAGATTTTCCCCCTCAAAATTTAATTTAATTTTTTAATTTGAAAAGGATTTTTTCCCGACAAAATGCGTAATGCTCACTTATTTAAGTTCATTTAGTATATCGTGCTTGCAAATTTTCTAAAAGACAAATTGAAATAGTTTTTGGGATCCAAATGTTTAAGGTTTATGTTTGAAAATACAAATAATGTAATTTACTAATACAAATAAGGCAAAGTAATGCAAATAAGACGTTAAACAATTGCATTCACATGAAAAAGTTTCTTGGGGAATATTTAAAATTCTGACTGCAATCCTAGATAGTTCTCTTATATTGCATTCACCTTTCCTCCAAGTTGAGGTAAATATTTTTAAGGCTGCAAAATTTATAAGTTACTACTCATATTTCTCATTAAACTCTACTCTAGATCTTTTGCTTTGCCCGGTATTCTGCTATATCTGATGCTATTCTAACTTCAAGTAGAGTTTTAATTTTTTTCGAGAGCTCTTTTATTATGAAATAGGGTTAATTGGCTTGTCCTGAGTAGCAAATTAAACATTATAACAAATCCTAAGTAAAAAAAAATCGAGCTTAGAATTTTAACCTTTATTTTTTGTTTAAATAATTGTACAGAAATTTATTGATAAAAGAAAATATTAATAGTACAAATATGTTCTATAAAAAGTCTATTAAAAAATCTTCTTTCCACGTCAATAAGTGTACCTGTTCTTTAGTTTATAGGTATAAGTGTACCTGTTCTTTAGTTATTTAGTTTAGAGCACCTAAATAGAGGGACTTATATTTTTGTGTGTATACCGGGGGTTTCATTGTTCTAAATATTAATTTTATTATTTTTGTGAATTATAATTATTTTAATTGCATACTTCGATTATGCATTTTTACAAAAAAAAAGTATAGAAATAAATTTACTTAATTACAGTTACATGACAAATAGTTAATTCAGTAAAATAATAAAAAATGACTCAAATGACATTAATCATGTATAATTAAAATATTTGGAGATAGCTTTATCAAATATATAGATAATGAAAATACAACAGAATAGAAGAACCATTTCAAAAGAGATTAATAATTTACAGATTAATACTGTTGTGTTTAGTTCTAAGCTTTGTCATTTTTATATAACATAATTATACTAATTATAATTTATATGTTTTGTTTGAAAATATAGGAGACTATTTTGTGCCATTATCTTTTTAGAGAAATGTATTATGGTTTAATTTTAATATTTTTATCCTCATTTTAAAACGTTTCTCAGTCAAATTGGAATTAAGTCAAGTGGATATGAATATACAATGATTTTTGTGTTAGTTGTTTCACTTTTGTTAATTTTTTTGCTTAGGACCAATTTTTACGAATAAGCCAATCAATCGGAACACGATATACATGTTGGTTGTGGGTTTTTTTTTTTTTTTTTGAAAACATGCCTACATATAAACAATTGTTTAACCTATCTTCAATTTTTGCCACAGAATTCTATGCTATTTTACTGGTTTTGAATTTTATTTCTGTCCAAACATAAAATACGCAGAGAATAAGAACGGACTCAAGTAGTTTTATTTCAAGTGTTCCTCACATAGGACGGAACACCGTGGAAAAAAAATTCCGTCACAACTGGATTCAGTATTTATTTCAGCTAGCTTCGCATGTCAGTATTCACGGTAATGAGCCTGCCGATATCGTCTCAAAAACTGCCCAAAATGTAAGCAGAAACCTTTGGATCTAATTTGACTTAGTAAATCTTCAGTACATCAGACCTGGTAAACAATTGGAGTAATCAAATTTATGATAAATTACATGAAATTTACCCCACAGTTGATAACTATGAAATAATATCCGCAGATCGCTAAAGACAGGCTATAAATAATAGGCTATGCGAACCTTTTTAATTTAAATGAGTCACATAAACGAAGAACTGAGTAAGTGGAGGTTCTAAATAGATGAAATTTGGTGAATTCGGGTATATTAATTTTACGTTAATACAAAAATTATGTTTTGCCTTTATTTCTGACTCGCAATCTTTCTGTTCCGTATAGCTATAAATAACTAACTCTACTTTAAATTGTTCGTGTCATAGCGTTTGCGCTCTTGGCGTTCCTCCCTGAAGACAGGAATATTAAAGTCACTTTTCGACTGTTAAAGCCAAATATATTGGAACCTTCTTAGAATGTTTTTCCGAAGCTCTGTCGTCAAGAAAAATAAAGGCCAACCTGAAGCAAAGCTTTGATTTTAAGTTATATATTTCATCTTGCTGGGAAGAATTATATGGGCTTTAGAATGAACAAGCAACTTATATTTTAAAAGTTAATTAACTTTTTTAAAATTCGCTACTTTGGTGCAAAATTTTCCACCTTGAAGAAAATTTTCACGAGCCCAGGTAATGCAGCATTAGAGTAAGTTTTAAAATATTAAAAAATTAGACTACAAACACTTTTTATTACAAGAAAACTGTGGCTTTGCTCCATATCGACTTTTTGCACCATTTTCAGAATAAATATAGACAGCGCTAGGTTTAGATAGGCCAAACTTGTCCTAGCAGTCATGAGCAACTGTTGTAAACCCACAACAGTTATGAAAATAGCATATTAGTAAAAATAACTACAATATTAATGAAATTTAAAAAAATATTCGGGAATTATATGCATACAAATAACTACTTGACTTATAATTTTTGTCATACATATGTTTACAAATTTTACTTCTCTTTATAATTTATTTTGTTAAAAGAAAGTTTTTAATTAAAAAATATTTTTAGAAATTATTAAATTTCTGAATAATTATTTAATTCCGCTGCGTAAAATAATGGACAATAAAAATTTTTGTTCCCACTTCAAACTACTAACGGAATTCAGTATAAATTACCACAAACGAGTTAAAGTTTTTGTGCATGATTCCTTGAATGTCCTAAAACTAATTAAATGAAAGTGGTAATATTATTAACATTTAGTGAGCTTTTAAAATTAGAAGTTAGTTAGCATTCGAGGCTGGTTCCTGTTCATTAATTAAATTCTTAACAGTTTTATTCAATCAAAATTTATAGCTCCTTCCAAGATCTTGTTTTGTTGTGTTAAAAGCTTTTCTTTTAAAATTAAAAGGTTTTATTTAACCTGTTTTTTCGAAGCTCTTTCACCCAATTAAATAAAAGAAAAAAACACAGTTTAATTGCTTTACATTTGAAGCAAAGTTATTTTTTAAAATTATATATGCCATCTTGTCATGAAAAATTATCAAGGCTTCAGACCGGTCCAATAATTAAAATATTGTAAAAGTTATTCAACTTTTGTAAAAATCGCCAATTTGGCAATATTTTTCCACATAGATGAAAAATATCAGAAATCACTGCCTTTTTCCCAGCTTTTGCTAATTTTTATGAGTCTTGATGATGTGGCATTGGAGTAAGTTTTTCAGTACAAAAAATTTAGAGCACAAGAGCTTTCTATATTCTCCAGGGGCTTCCTCTGTATAGATGTTTTGGGTCATTTTCAGAATGAGGCAGAGAGCGCCGGTTATAGATAGGCTAAACTTGACCTAAGAGGCATGAGCAACTGTTACAAACTTCAGCAGTTATGAAAATAGCATATTACTCACAAAAAAGCATTTTATACGATGAGGAGGGCTTCGAGAAACAACCTTAACATGCTTACATTCCGAAAACACGCTAAGATTATCACTAAATAACTTCATCCAATGAGATCTACGAAAGTTGTTATGAAATATACTTCGCAAAATATATTAATGTGGAATAGCTAAATAAGACTAAAATCAGATATTTACCTGAGAAATCTCAATTATAAAAAATGGTACATAAAAACATCTTTCTTTTTACTTTGACTTACATTTGACGCATGACTTACTAAATTAGTTTATCTATGGCCAAATGTCATAAGTCTCGTGTTTATATAAACTTAGAACGTCATAAATACGCATAACAAAAATTAAGCATAAATTATTTGTTAAAATTAGAAAACGTGAGACTTATACCGAGATCTTGGTCGCGTACAAAGTTTTAATTACAGGAATGTGAAGACTTTTTCGTGAGACTTAATATTTGATTTACTCATAATTTTTCAATAAGCCGTGAAAATGAATCTTGAAATTTTAATACTTATAAAATCAACATGCGAAATGTAGTGATTGCTTTTTGCATTTTCTAGAAATATCAACGACGACAGAACCGTCAACAGGTAGCACTGACCCAGTCACTGGAGACACAACCCCTGATTCAACAGATACAGGGCCTACAACAGTAACGGAGCCCACAACAGTAACGGACCCCACAACAGTAACGGAGCCCACAACAGTAACTGAACCCACAACAGTAACTGAACCCACAGTAGTAACGGTGCCACCACCCGGAGCGTAAATAACAGATATTAAAAAAAAGTGAACTAATAAAAAGAGTGTATTGTGACAGAAAACTTGTTTTGTTTTTTTACTAAATAATAAATAGTTTATTTTTTTGAATTCACTGAGCAGAAAGCAAATACTTTAAATTAACATGCGAATATGACCAAAAACCCTACTAATTTCAGTTTCTGTTATAAGTAAAAAAAGTTTGGATTAAACTAAATTTAAAATGTAAAATAAAGTTAGTGATTTGTTTCAATAATAATATTAGATAATATGCATAAAAAAGATTTTATTCATTTATTTTTTCTTTGTTTTAAATAATTATACGTAAAGAGTTTTATTTCATTAAAATAGCGTATGCTTGATCATTCATTGAATAAAGTAATAGTCATGTTTTAAACATATACAGTGCTTCTCTGTAAAACATTAAAAAAATCATACTAATTTGTTGATCAATAAATATTTTTGAAATTTTGATACTTAAAATTTTATGCATCAGATCGGCATTAAATGGATAGTTTTTGATATTGCTTCTAAGACATTATACGAGCGTTTTTTAATGTAATTTATACGTTTTATGAAAATAAAAGCTGTTAAAACATTGATAATAAATATTGCCTAATTTTTTTATTTTGCTTACTTTCTTAGTTTTAAATCTTCTTTTTTAAGCCTTCATATTTCGTGATTTATTTTTTAAACAGTATTAGAGTCATCAGATAGTAACTGGACAAATTACAAATTCTAAAGAAAGTGTTCTTTTTTATTTCTTTTGAGGCCTTTTTGTTATCCAAAAAAAGCGTTCAAAATAAATTAATAAAAAATATTAATTTATTTTGAATGCATTTTTAAAACTTTTTATAAGTATTGAATTTGAAGTTCTATTGAATAGAGAAAATTGATAATGAATAGAGAAAAATTTCGCAATAAAATCAATGCTATTTCATTTAGATAATAGCTAAAATAGATTGCCAAAATAATGAGTAAAACGTTTAATATATTTCCAATATTTTTTTAATATTACTAAGACGCATTTTTTGTATCCATGGCAAAAGATACAAATAAAATAAATCTTTTAAGATATTAACTAGTTGTTTTAGAAATAGGAGGTAGTAGCAAAAAAAAATTTTTAATTATGTATTTTTCTTATTCTGTTTTCATTGGGTATTATTGTATCTGTTCATTTCTTTATTGCGCATTCGAAATTCTAGGAATAGTGCTGTTTCAATTTTGCTTAATGAAGAATTTTTGACTTAAATGTTAAATACAAATCTGTTGTAATACCTATTGGTTTGTTTACTATATTGTAAATTAAGCAATCTGACAATATCATACATTTCAAAATCATAATTTTCACTTAATTTTTAGCCACTTCTCTGCACAAATATGTCAGATAACTTAAGTTTTTGTTAGCATGGCAGAACGTTTTTAGCAAATATCTGAAATTCAATCTGTGTATTTTCATTCAAAAATGACTAAAAATCAGAAGCAAACTTATCTATTGCAATTGCCTAAAAATTCAATGAAGATATCAGCTAATTGCACCTATCATACTGTGTGGAGATTTTTAAAACTATTTGGAATTGATGTCGAAATTGAAAAATCCACCTCATGCCGCAGACTCAAATCATATGGTTTTATTGTTTTCATAACTGCTTCTTCGAGTTATAACCTATTCACCATAAGTTATGTAACGTTTTTTGATCCTTCGGTATTAAGATATTCTCTTTTTACTTTGGGAATGAGATTCTCAGTTGTTCTATTGTGGTTTCTCATGAGAAAGAGAGCATTGCGCATTCATAACTTATTAATCACAATCCACAGGTTTAACTTAAGCAGTTTTGAGTGCAACAAAGCAAGATTTAACCATACTAAAATTCTCTTCTTTATCAGCTTATTTGCTGCCATTCAACTGATTTTAGATATGGTTGCATTAATTATAACTCCATTAAGTAAGTTATATTTTTGGACAATTGGAATACAATTTAAAACAAAGCTGATTTACGTATCAATTGCATTTTTTCAGTATATTGCTGAAATTAATTTTACATATGGGTTTCCAGTTGTAGTCAACTTGGCATTGTGCACTTTGTACAGTTATTGCTCCGATCTGCTCCTGATGTATGAGAAAAGATTAGTTCACGTGTATGATAAAATGCCTTGTATGAATTTCTTGATTCTATTCTCTGAAATTGTTTATTTCATTGAAGTAGTCAACGAAGTATTGTCAGTGCCTTCTTGTTTAACATGCATTATTTTGTTTTTAAATTTGTGCTCAAGTGTAGCTTGGGCTTTACTAAAATTCAACGAGGTACTTATCAACATTAAAATGAAATTGTGCTTAAATTTTGCCATCGGCATTATTTCGTTTACTCTGTTATTTTTTACAGCAGCTGAAGTACATTCGATGTGCGAAAAAGTAAAACAGCGTTTTTATATAATGTATGAGAAAGCCATGCGAAATAGATTGCATGACAGATATATATTAAAGTATTTGAAGACCATAATGAAGAAGGAATTAGCACATATGTCTGGAGCTGAAATTTTCTTTTTTAAAAGGGAGCATCTGCTGACGCTGTTCGGGGCCTTACTGACCTATGGTCTTTTGGTTTATAACTTCATGAACTGAAGTTTAAGAATTTATTAATGCTTTTTAATTTTTTGTTATAAATGTTTGATGTGATTATCTTAGTCACGCACATTTTCTGTATATTTATTCATAAATAGCAGTTGTAATTTTCGCTTATGAATTGTTATGCTTTGTTTATAAGGGCTATCAAAAGGAGGAAGAAAAATAAAGACTCAAAATATAAGAACTAGGTGTTTTGAAAATGGATTTTTACTTCAGAGTCATGCGAGTTGGGGGAAAAGGGTAGTATTCGTCCTTTGGAGCCTGCTCTTCACACCTTACATTGAATGCATTGCAAATTTTCCAAACTATTCAATTAATGAATTTGATATGACATCATGATCCCATTATTTTTGCTTGAAATAAAATAGTTCGAGATGTAAATATCTGCATCATGTTGTGATTCATGTAAATAAATTTATTTTTCCCTTCTTTATCAATGTTTTCTTGTAAAATTGATTTTATGATAATCCTCTTTAAAATCTTTTAGCTTTTATTGAGATATAGAAATTTTACCTTTAAATTTTCAATGTGTTTTGTTAAGTTAAAGAGATGTTATGTATGATTTCTATACATTGCTCAGCCCGACGCGGCAGATCGATAACTACATTTGCTCGACAACTCATTAGTATGACAGTGTATTTACTCGAGAATAAACAAAAAATATTTGAATGCTCTAATATGACTATAATCATAAATTTAAATAGATCCTATAATTAACAACAAAAAAATTCATAAAATCAATAAAAACTATCTATAAAAAAAACTTACTAAAAATTACAACGAATAAAAACACCATGATTGTGTATTAAAGAGTTAAATGGATATTATCCTTCGCATAAGACCTTTCTTTTACAGGAAAAAAATAAAGTAAACACATTTCGAAAATCTACCAAAATTGCAGAAAAACCGCTTAACATGTATGGAGAAAAAATCATTTCCCATGCATGATGTCCACACTGCCGGGCAAATGAACTGTTGCAAAAATGCGCCCTTCTGATAAATCATTTGTCGTGCTAATGATCCGATTCAAATTATCATCTGATCATCAGTTGATAACTCAGTTGTCTTCTTACCATTTCTTGTAGATGGAAGGCTCATTGTCGATGACATTCGAATTATTTGTAAATCTTATGACATGAATAAAATCGAGAAAAAAATTCAACACGCTGTCTATAAAATGTTGCAATAGGCTGATAAGGATGATTTTACTTTTCCCATGACTAAAACATGTTGTGTTCATTTTTGTAGAAAAAGGGATATTAGAAAAGAGATATTAGATATTGAACTAGAAATTTGTATGCAAAATACTCCCATTCCAGTGGTTACAGAAACGAAATTCCTTGGTTTGATTTTAGAGTCCAAACTAACTTTTAAATACCATGTTAAATATCTGAGGCAAACATGTGAAAAAAAAGATACATTTAAAAGTTTTAACAAATACTAATTGGGGGCAGACACAAATTCAATGCTGAAAATTTACAGATGCATAATTCGCTCTAAATTTGATTATGACTCAATTGTATATAGTTCTGCAAGAAAGAATGTTATGAAATACGTGAATACCATACATCACGACGGGTTACATGTATCGACTTGGGCTTCTCGCACCTCTCTCATGAAAAGTCTGTATATATTACATAATGAACCATTTCTCACAATGCTACAGAAAATACGGTGGAGCAAATTGGCACTGAACTATTACTCCCATCTTAAATGTGACCCACACCATCCTATGTATTTTAGAATTGCATCGCCAAATCATTTTAATAACAGATTATTGACAATCCCATCTTTCGAAGTGAAAATGAAACAAGTTCTCCTTAGAACACTACCCCCTGAGGAGGTTTACCTTCTTCAGGTAAACACAGGGAGTCACGCCCCGGGGTACCCTAGTGATCGGTCCTTCCTTCCGTTTCCTCTCTCCTTTCTCCTACTTTCTCCTTTCTCTTCTCCCTTGTCGTGGTTGCCAAATTTACTGGTGAGGGCTTGTCATCTGTGTTTGATTACCACTCTGTTGTGTTGGACATAGATGGGAAGAGACCACTCGCGTGTTTGCCGTGCGTGGAGACCCGTGTTCCTGGAAAAGGGGATCCTGGCAGTTGAGGGGCATCCTGGTATCACAATACACTGCTTTGGCCCGTGCTTCAGGTAAACGGGAGGTGCATATTGACCTGTGTGCATAAATCGGCTAGTCTAGAATGTCATTTGTTGGCTAGGGTCAAGCCCGCCGTTACTTACTGGGCACCTCGTTAAGGGTGGAGGCTGCTTCAGGGGTGGCTTGCGGGCGTATAGCTAGTGGTTAGCATCGGTGTTAAATAACGGATTGGTGGCAGCACTAATTTGTTATTTGCATCCCCTAAGTTGGACTCCGTGGTGGGTGGTGCCTCTGGTAGCTGAAGTGATTGATATTTTCTATGGCCGAAAATAGTAAGGTGTTCAGTTCCGCACACCACTGCAAAAACAGCGGAACAACCTCAGTACCGTGTGATTACGCTCGATTTTTCTTGGTAGCTCTTACGAATCCGAATGTACCGAATACTTCTTTCAATAAAGTATCTCCATTTCTTATTCACAAGGCTCTTCTTTCTATACTGGGAGATGTCGCCTCTGTGAAAAAATTACGCTCAGGTGACCTCTTAGTTGAAGTCTCCTCGATGACACAGGCCAACATTTTATCTAGTTGTACATCTATGTGTTCATTCAAAATTAATGTCACGCCTCATAAGTCACTAAACACTTCTCGAGGTGTAATATCAGCAGCAGAATTCGTGAACGATGACGAAGAAATGCTTGTTGAAAACCTTGCAGATCAAAATGTCACCGCAGTTCGTAGGATTAAAATTCGGAGGGACGGTCATCTTGTCCCTACCAAACATCTTATCCTAACATTCAATACACCAAAGTTACCATCTTCTGTGAAACTTGCTTGGTATAATTGCCCAGTTCGACCGTACGTGCCAAATCCTTTGAGATGTTTCCAATGTCAAAGATTTGGTCACGCTAAAACATCCTGTCGAAGCAATCCAACCTGTGCCCGTTGCTCTGGCTCTGACCATGACGATGCTTCCTGCGAGTTGCCATCCCTCTGCATTAACTGCAAAGGGGATCATCCTGCATACTCGAGAAGCTGTCCAAAATGGTCACAAGAAAAAGAAATTCAAACTGTTAAGGTAATGCAAAATCTAACTTTCAATGAAGCTCGCCGTATAGTCACCGCCCGTACTCCTCGGTCGGGAGTGTCCTATGCAGCGGCAGCTAAGACTTCCCTGCGTACAGTCAGCACACAAACAGATACTCCACAGCAAACCAACAAGAAACCACTGTTTAATTTCACTGGACCTACCACCCGATCCATATCCATATCTCCGCCACCACAGAAAGCACCTAGAACAACTTCGTCTGAAAGATCTCGGCCTGCTCATAAGCAGTGTTCGAACTTAAAACTCCCCCCTAGTCAAAAACCAGGAATTTCTCGCAAGAAAAAAGACTCTAAATTTAATCAATACTCAAAAAAACCTACTACCAACAATCTTGAACCCATGGAAGATGAAATAAGTCTGCATCCATCGGATGATGAGTCACTATTCGATGACGCTCCGACTGTTATAACTTCAACATCTAAAACATAATGTCAATTTCTTTTATATCATGGAATTGTCGTAGTACGCGCAATAAGAAGTCTGACATCAAAGACATCATTTTAAAATATCATCCTACATGTTTTATGCTTCAAGAAACTCATTTATCTCCTTCTCACAGTTTCAACATTCGAAATTATGCGTGTCATCGAAATGATTACGTTGATGGTAATCGACCTACCGGTGGCGTTGCAATTTTTACCTCCACATGTTTCCCTTCATCTCGCCTTTCGCTATCAACTTCATTACAGGCTATTGCTGTTCAAGTTCACCTTAATATTTTGATTACAGTTTGCTCAATTTATTTACCTCCACACACTTCCATTGCTCAAGCCGATTTAAATTCACTACTTCATCAACTGCCCATTCCATTCATTTTGGTTGGGGATTTTAATGGCCATAGTGAGCTATGGGGTAGTTCTGACTCTAATGCTCGAGGGCGACAAATAGAAAGACTTATCCTAGACAATAACCTATGTTTGCTGAACCAAGGAGAAGACACGTATTTTCATGAACCCACAAGGACCTTTCATTGCATTGATTTGGCCTTCTGTTCACCTATACTTTTACCGTTCTCCCAATTTACCGTCGACGAAGATCTTCATAACAGCGATCATTTCCCAATCATAATTTCGTATTCATCTAGTGTTCCTATCACTACCAGACCCCCAGTTTTTATCTATCATCGTGCGGATTGGATTCTATTCTCGCAACTTGCTGACATTACTGAAGATATGGTGACTGACAACAGTATTGACACTGCGGTTGAAAAAGTAACTTCGGTGATTATGCATGCTGCCGAATCCAGCATACCAAAAACTACTGCATCTCTCCCTCGTCATCGTAAGCCGTGGTGGAATGCTGAATGCGCAGCTGCTCATAAAAAGCAGAAACGTTTGTGGAGCATATTCCGTCGTTCTCCTACCACTGCTAACCTTTTAGCTTTCAAACATGCCAAAGCCATCGCACGTAAAGTGAGGCGCAAAAGTCAGAAAGACTCCTGGCGCCGTTATGTCTCTTCTATTACAGCTACGACCTCTCCCAGACAAGTCTGGTCGAGAGTCAAACGAGCTAATGGTATTTACCGTGAATTTCATCTTCCGGTATTTGAAAAAAACGGTACCATATATTCGTCTCCTACTGACATTTGTGATATCCTTGGCGAGGCATTTGTAACGGTTTCTAGACCTGATAGCTACAGTTTAGCGTTCCAAAGCTACAAGCAAAATGCTGAACGGATGACTATTAACTTTCATACGCGCCGCAACTTTCATTATAACTGTGATTTTAACTTTACAGAATTGCAGAGAGCACTGTTTCGAGCTAATAACACAAGTTCCGGTCCTGATGGTACCACATATCACATGCTCCGCCACTTAGATCGGACGTCTTTGTCAAATGTCCTTATACTATTTAATAGAATATGGACTGAACAAGCGTACCCTTCTGGTTGGCATGAAGCAATTGTTATACCTATATTAAAACCAGGAAAAGATGCTAAAAATCCAATCAATTATCGACCTATTGCGTTAACCAGCTGTCTTGGTAAAACGTTTGAGCGAATGGCTAACTCACGACTTGTGTACTATATCGAAAAGAATCACGTTATTCTAGATTTTCAGAGTGGTTTCCGTAAGGGACGATCCACAATCGACAACATTGTAGAACTGGAAACGCGAATCCGTAATGCCTTTGTCCGGTGAAATCATCTTGTCTCTGTCTTCTTCGATATTGAGAAAGCTTATGACCAGACTTGGCGTTATGGAATTCTCAAAGCTCTATTTGAAATGGGTCTCCGAGGTCATTTGCCTATTTTCATCAGAAACTTTTTATTGAAGCGCTTTTTTTTTGCGTTAAGATTGGATCCAACTTTTCTCAACGATATATCCAGACTGAAGGTGTCCCCCAAGGCAGTGTTTTGAGTGTCATTTTGTTCATCATTCATTTTTGTCGTAAACGCACTCTTCATAATGATCCCAGTATCACCATTCGTAACATTGCTATACCTGTTGTGCCATACACAAAGTTTTTAGGCGTCATTTTCGATAGCAAATTTACTTTCATACCTCATATCGTACAATTGCGAAAATTATGAGAGCAGAAATTAAATATGCTCCTTGTGCTGTCAAATAAGTTTTGGGGAGCGGATCGCATAGCCTTACTGCGCATTTATCAAGCGCTGATTTTATCGCGGCTTGATTATGCATGTGCAGTTTGCGGCTCGGCTACAGCTTCTAACCTACGTTACTTAGATACGGTACATCATGCTGCCTTGCGTATTTGCTCTGGAGCATTTCGAACATCCCCAGGTGAAAGCTTATATGCTATTTGTCATCAATTTCCATTAGATTTACGTCGCATGCAACTGTGTCTGATATACTATTATCGTATCATGTCATGTAAATCACATCCTCGTCGCCGTGATGTGATATCATCAGATTTAGAGCGATTGTACGTAAATAGACCTTCACACATTCGTCCATTTTATTTGCGCACTCGCTCACTCATACAGACCTTTGATATCTGCGAACTACCATCTCAGTCAGTTGATCACTTTCTCATACAGCCGTGGGTCATCTCACCATATCAATTATTGCTCCATTTATGTTGTACAATAAAACCAATGTTGCACCCTGCATTTTCCAACAACTCTTCATTGAACATCGTAACGAATATTCTGAATACATACCAATTTCTACAGACGGATCAAAATCTGCTGGATACATTGGCTGTGGTGTCGTCATTGCTGATGAAACCTATAGCTATAAAATCCCGGATATTTGCTCAGTCTTCACTGCTGAAGCTTTTGCTATCCTTTTGGCACTGAGACTGATTTCCACGCGCTCTACACGGAGGTATTGTATTTACTCCGATAGTATGAGCGTTTTGCGCCAGTTGGATAACATTCGCAGTGAAAATCATCCAATTTTAGATCTTATTATTCATTTGCTATGTAGTCTCCACAGAAATGGGTTTCATGTAATGTTTTGTTGGGTACCGAGTCACGTTGGCATACCAGGAAACGACCTGGCCGATTCTTGTGCACGGTCTGCCACTGATCTCTTTCCATTATCTGTGCCTTTTACGGATGTCAAGCTGCATGTTCGGAAATTTATAACATCTTTATGGCAGCAAAGGTGGGATCTCCAAACTCTCAATAAGCTACATAGTGTTAAAACCAATTTGGACCATTTGCCTGTTCTGCATCTGCGTAGTTCAGACGTTAAACTCACTCGACTGCGAATCGGTCACACCCGGTTAACGCATCTTCATTTGCTGTTCGGAGAACCTCCCCCTGAATGCAGTACTTGTAACGTTCCTCTCACAATTCATCATATTTTAATAACGTGTCCATGTTTTAATCAACATCGGAATTTTATTTACGGAACAATATTTGGGAATTCCCTTTTATGCTTTCAAGATTTGTTGGATGACATTCAACATCCTAACATTTTTGCATTTTTACGTGTCATTGGCATTTTTAACAGCATATAAAAGTTTTAACGCATCTACTGTTTTATACACTCTTGTAAATATCTTACTACCTTTGTACATTTTACTCACTTCGTGCGTTTTATACTGTATTCATACCTTTTATCTGATTTTAATTAGATTATCTTGTCTTAATCACCTACTAGTACTATTTTATCAATTATAATTGTGTTACAATTAAATTTTGTATGCATTTAGGTTTTTCAATGATTTTACCGTATTGTTTGGCGCAGCATGTCCTCACCTGGACCTTGCGCCACTAAACCCTACATTCAATTCAATTCAATTCTGTTAAAACATTGATAATAAATATTGCCTAATTTTTTTTATTTTGCTTACTTTCTTAGTTTTAAATTTTTTTTAAGCCTTCATATTTCTTGATTTATTTTTTTAACAGTATTAGAGTCATCAAATTGTAACTAGACAAATTACTGATTGTAAAGAAAGTGTTCTTTTTTATTTCTTTTGAGGTCTTTTTGATATCCAAAAAAGCGTTCAAAACAAATTAATAAAAATATTAATTTATTTTGAACGAAGTTTTAAAACATTTTATAACTATTGAATTTGAAGTTTAATTGAATAGAGAAACATTTTGCGATAAAATCAATACTATTTCATTAAGATAATAGCTAAAATAGATTGTTAAAATAATAAGAATAACTTTTAATATATTTTCAATATTTGTTTCAAACATTACTAAGAAGAATTTTTTTCTTTTTGTATCCATGGCGAAAGATACAAATAAAAGAAACCTTTAAGATATTAACTAGTTGTATTAGAAATAGGAGGTTGTAGCAAAAATATTTTATGAAGTTAAAAACATTTTTTTAATTATGTATTTTTGTTAAACCGTATCCTTTGGGTTTTATTATATCTGTTCATATCTTAATTACGCATTCGAAATTATTGGAATAGTGCCTTTCCAATTTTGCTTAATCAGGATTTTTTGGCTTAAATGTTTAAAAAAAATCATTTGTAATACCTATTTGTTTGTTTACTATATTGTAAATGAAACAATCTGGTAATTGCATGCATTTCAAAAGCATACTTTATCACTTCATTTTTAGCCACCTGTCTCCACAAATATATCAGAAAACTTAAGTTTTTGTTAGCATGGCACAACGTATTTAGCAAATATCTCTCAGATCCAATCTGTGTATTTTCATTCAAAAATGACTAAAAACCAGAAGCAAACTTATCTACTGCACTTGCCTAAAAATTCAATGAAGATATCAGCTAATTGCACCTATCATACTGTGTGGAGATTTTTAAAAATATTTGGAATCGATGTCGAAATTGAAAAATCCACCTCGTGCCGCAGACTTAAATCATACGGTTTTATTGTTTTCATAACTGCTTGTTTGAGTTATAACCTGTTCACAATGGGGTATGTAACGTTTAATGATCCTTCGGTATTAAGATATTCTCTTTTTGCTTTGGGAATGAGATTCTTAGTTTTTGTATTGTGGTTTCTCATGAGAAAGGGAGCATTGCGCATTCATAACTTATTAATCAAAATCCACAGGTTTAACTTAAACAGTTTTGAGTACAACAAAGCAAGATTTAACCATACTAAATTTCTCGTCTTTATCAGCTTATTTGCTGCCATTCAGCTGATTTTAGATATGATTGCATTAATTATAACTCCATTAAGTGATTTATATTACTGGACATGTGGAATACAATTTAAAACAAAGCTGATTTACGTATCAATTGCATTTTTTCAGTATATTGCCGAAATTAATTTTACATATGGGTTTCCAGTTGTAGTCAACTTGGCATTGTGCACTTTGTACAGTTATTGCTCCGATCTGCTCCTGATGTATGAGAAAAGATTAGCTCACGTGTATGATAAAATGCCTTGTATGAATTTCTTGATTTTATTCTCAGAAATTGTTTATTTCATTGAAGTAGTCAACGAAGTACTGTCAGTGCCTTCTTGTTTAACATGCATTATTTTGTTTTTAAATTTGTGCTCAAGTGTAGCTTGGGCTTTACTAAAATTCAACGAGGAATTTATCAACATACAAATGAAATTGTGTTTAAATTTTGCCCTCGGCATTATTTCGTTTACTCTGTTATTTTTTACAGCAGCTGAAGTACATTTGATGTACGAAAAAGTAAAGCAGCGTTTTTATGTAATGTATGAGAAAGCCGTGCGAAATAGGTTGCCTGACAGATATATATTAAAGTATTTGAAGACCTTAATGAAGAAAGAATTAGCACATATGTCTGGAGCTGAAATTTTCTTTTTTAAGAGGGAGCATCTGCTGACGCTGTTTGGGGCCTTACTGACCTATGGTTTGTTGGTTTATAACTTTATGAACTGAAGTTTAAGAATTTTTTAGTGCTTTTTAATTTTCAGTTATAATGTTTGATGCGATTATCTCAGTCACGCGCATTTTATGTATATTTCTTCATAAATAGTCATCATCGTCGCTGTAATTATCACTTATGAATCGTTATACTTCGTTTATAACAGCTATCAAAAGGATGGAGAAAAAAAAGACTCAAACTTGAGTATCGAGTAGTGACTTTTGAAAATGGATTATTTCTCTTGAATATTGCGAGTTGGGGAAAAAGGACGATATTCCGATTTTTGGATCTCGCTTTTTACACCTTTAATTGAATGCATTGCAAATTTTCCAAACGATTCAATTAATGTTTATGATCATGATCCCATTCTTGTCGCTTGAAATAAAATAGTTATATGCATCATGTTGTGATTCATGTAAATAAGTTTATTTTTCCTTTCTTTATCAATGTTTTCTTGTAAAATTGATTTTATGACTAATAACCCCTTTAGAATCTTTAAGCTTTTATCTTAGATACAAAAATTTTACCTTTAAATTTTTAATGTGTTTTGTTAAGTTAAAGAGATTTTATGTATGATATCTATGTATTCTGATAAAGTATTGCTAAGCCTGACGCAGCAGTTTGATAACTACATTTGCTCGAGAACTCAGTTGTCCGACAGTGTATTTATTTTCTCGAAAACAAAAAAAAAGTATACGAAAACACTATAATTACTATAATCATAAATTTATAAATATAAATGAATCCTATATTTAATGTTTAAAAAAAATTAATGATCAATGAAAGATATCTATCAGAGGAAACTTTCTAAAAATTAGAACTTATAAAAACTTCTTGTTTGTGTAGAGTCAAAACAGATATTATCTTTTGTGTATGACTTTTCATGAACAGGAAAAAATAGAGTAAAAACATTTGGAAAATCCACCATCCATGTAAAAAAAAGCACTTAACATGTATGGAAAAAAATCATTTCTCATACATGTCATGTCCACACTGTCGGGCAAACGAACTGTTGCAAAAATGCGCCGTTCCGATAAATGAATTGTCGCACGAATGATCCGATTTTAAATTTATTCTTCCAATAATTATTGAGGTTTAAATGATAACTCAGTTGCAACATCAGTTGATAACTCAGCTGTTTTCCTTACCATTTTAAGTGGGCGGAAGGTTTATTGTCGGCGACATTCGAATTATTTGTAAATCTTATGACATGAGTACAATCGAGAAAAAATTCAACACTCTGTCTATAAGATGTTGCAATGGCCTGATAAGAATGATTTTACTTTTTTCCTGACTAAAACATGTTTCATTCATTTTTGTAGAAAAAGAGATATTAGATATTGAACTAGAAATTTGTATGCAGAATACTCCCATTCCAGTGGTTACAGGAAAGAAATTCCTTGGTCTGATTTTAGAGTCCAAACTAAATTTTAAATGCCATGTTAAATATCTGAGGCAAACATGTGGAAAAAGGTAAATTTAATAGTTTTAACAAATACTAATTGGGGGCAGACACAAATTCAATGCTAAAAATTTACAGATGCATAATTCTCTCTAAACCATTTCTCACAATGCGGCGGAGCAAATTGACACTGAACTATTACTTCCATCCTAAATGTATCCATCCTATGTATTTTAGAATTGCATCGCCGAATCATTTTATTCATTTTAATAACCGATCATTGACAATCCCAACTTTCGAAGTGAGAATGAAACAAGTTCTCCTTAGAACACTACATTTCTCTACGTAACTGAAATTTTTCAATCTCCTCAATAAAAGGACAGACTTCGCGAGTCATCTATTAATCTGCTCAGAGAGGATAACAAGGATTTTAATCCAATCTACACAGATGGCTCTAAAAGCGAAAATCACGCAGTTTGTTTCGTTGTAACCCCATAATTTATATTATCCGAAAAGTTACACTCAACTTATTTAGTTGTTACACCTGAAGCACGTGCAATATTTTAGTCATTCAGTTTATCTCCTCCCTGAGTCAAAAATTTGAATTTCCACCGTATTTTGGCTGCTATTATATCCTACTTTGCATTTACTAATCGGTGATAACTACAGTATAATATTCTCTTTTACCTTAATGACATTGGATTTTATACCTCAACTTAATTTAATTTTGTTAAAATTATTGATATTTCTTATTTTACCTGAGAATTCGTTTTTCAGGCGGTAGAGCCATTTCTAGCTCTTGCGCGAAAACCACCGACTAGCTAACTCTTCCAAAAATTTGAGGAAGTGGATAATTTATTCCGACTCCCAAAGTTGTATAATTGTAGTTGTAATTTAATTATTAGTTGTATACAAAGTTGTATTATTGTATGCTTTGTTAAACAGATCCAGTAAACCTCATTCCATAGTTAATATGATGTAGTGGTGCATTCCGCACTTCACCAGTTGAGAGTTTATATGTTATTTGTCACCAATCACCTCTCGATTTACGTCGCATGCAGTTGTCATTGGCATATTACTATCGTGTGAAGTCCTACAAATCTCATCCTCTAAAGAAAGATGTCTTTCCATTAAGCTTGGAACGATTGTATGACGCTAGACCTTCACACGTCCGTCCATTTCATGCTCGCGTGCGCTCAATCATACGAACATTTGACATTTGTGACATAACACAATCAGTAGATCACCTTCTCATACCACCCTGGATCATCGCACCATATCAATTTTATTCCCCATTTATGTTGTACAGTAAATCTAATGTTGCATCCGTCATTTATCAACAAATATTCAATTCTCATCGTCATCAATATTTTGAGTATGTACCTGTATATACTGACGGATCAAAATCGACGGGGTACGTAGGCTGTGGTGTCATCATCGCTGATGATACTCATAGCTACAAGATCCCAGATACTTGTTCCGTCTTCACTGCTGAATCTGCTGCCATCCTTTTGGCATTGCGGCTGATTCCTTCACGCTCCGAACGAAAGTATTTGATATACTCCGATAGTAAGAGCGTTTTGAGCCAGTTAGAAAATTTTCGCAGCGATACTCATCCAATCTTATGCTTCATTAATCATTTATTAATCGCTCTTCACAAGAAGGGATTTGATATTTCATTTTGCTGGATACCGAGTCACGTCGGTATCCCAGGGAATGAGTTGGCTGATTCTGCAGCACGATCTGCAACTACTGAATTAACAATATCTGTACCATTCTCAGACATTAAACTACATGTTCGACAGCTCATCTCGTCCCTTTGGCAACAGCATTGGGACCTTCAAACTCAAAATAAACTTCATAACATCAAACCATATATAGACCCCTTACCTGTATTACGTTTACGTAATGCAGATGTAAAGCTTAATCGTCTCAGAATCGGCCACACTCGACTCACGCATCTTCATCTGTTGTTTGGAGAATCTCCTCCCAAATGCGACTCTTGCAATACTTTACTTACGGTTCATCACATTTTAACCATTTGTCCTTGTTTTAACCAACATCGTCTTACCTTTTTTAATAGCACGATTTTATGTATGAAGGATTTGTTAGATGATATTCATCATCCCAACATTTTCGCATTTCTGCGAGCTATTGGTATTATATATTGTATATAACTGTTTTATCTGATTTTATTCACTCTTATTTCCTACCCATGAACCGTTTTACCTTTTTTGTGTATTTTATAGAATTATGCTTTTTAATGATTTTTATGAACTTTTAAAAATACGTGTCTTGAGATAAACAATTTTATTACTTTCATTTATTTTATGACAATGAAACTATTGTGTGCAATTTACCATTAGATCTAACTCAACAAATTGTTTGGCGCAGCATATCCTCCTTTGGATCTTGTGCCATAAAACCCCTACATTCAATCAACCATAGTTAATATGATAATGTAGTTATATAATTCTGGGTATGAAATAATTTTCGCATGGATTCCAGGACGAACATTAATTTCAGACAATGAAATTGCTGACAGAGCCGCAAAATCCACACACAATTTAACCTGTAACCCTCACACATTCTCAGATAGCAAGAATGCTACAGAAAATAAGTTACTTTTACATACTGGAATACTGAAGTAAATAAGTTGTATTGCATAAAATTGTTTATCAAACCTTTTAAGGAGTCGCCTTTTCCCTGTAAATATGAAGTAATCCTAATCAGATTGCGCATTGGTCACACGCGCTTAGCCCACAGACATCTTCTATTAAATGAACCTGTTCCAACATGCTCAACTTGCAACTTTAACAGTTATGCATTTTCCCACACAATGCAAAAAATTCATATTTCAAAGGAGGCTCCATTTTGGCTATGAATATCCAATTTTATCAGATTCAATCGCTGACAAACCACATAAAAATAGCTTCTCTTATCTTCGAGACATAAGATTTTATTCTAGGAGTTAAACCTTTCAAATACAAACCATTCTTCTTTTTACCATTTGCAAAGACACAGACACCAAATTCAAATAAGCTTTAATTTTAACCAAAATATATTAATCTTACCCAGTTATTTTAACTTCAATCTAGTTTTAGACGTTGTATAGCCATCAGGGGGTTTACCTTCTTTAGATAAACACAGGGAATCACGTCCCGGGGTACCCCAGCTTTGTTTTCCTCCCCATTTACTCATACGTTCCCATTTCTCTTCCCCCTAGCCATGGTTGCCAAATATACTGGTAAGGGCTTTTCATCTGTGTTTGATTACCATCCTGTAGTATTGGACCCAGATGGAAAGAGACCATCCGAAAAAAGGGGATCCTGGTAGTTGAGGGCCATCCTGGTACCCCAACACACTGCTTTGGCCCGTGCTCTAGGGTAAACGGGAGGTGCATATCGGCCCTTATGCATCAATCGGCTCGTCACGAATGTCATCTGTTGGCTGGGGTCAAGTCCAGGGTCACTTACTGGGCACCTCGTTAAGGGTGGAGGCTGTTTCAGGAGTGACTTCGAGGACGTATAGCTATTAGTTGGTTTCGATGTTCAAATAACAGATTGGTCTCAATACCTATCTGTTATTTGCATCCCCTTAGTTGGACTCCTTGGTGGGTGGTGCCGCTAGTAGTGGAAGCGTTTGAAATTTTTTATGGCTGAAAATAGCATGGAGCTATGTTCTGCATACCAAAGTAAAAGCAGTGGAACAACCTCTTCCCCGAATGATAACTCTCAGTATTTTCTAGTAAAGCTGAATAATCCTTCTGTACCAGATACGTCATTCAGCAAAGTGTCTCCCTTCTTAATACATAAGGCTCTTCTCTCTGTACTGGGAGAAATAGCATCCGTGAAAAAGTTAAGATCAGTTTACCTCTTAATACAGGTCTCCTCTTCAAAACAAGCCGGTACCTTGTCCAAATGTAATACCATATGCACTTTAAATGTAACAGTCACACCACACAATACCCTCAATTCCTCTCGAGGTGTCTTATCTGAATCTGAATTTATAAATGATACCGAAGAAATGATTCTCGAAGAACTTACATGATCAAAACGTTACAGCAGATAGAAGGATTAAGATTAGCAGGGATGGTAAACTCATCCCTACGAAACATCTGATCCTCACTTTCAATAAACCAAAACAGCCGCCTTCTATCAAAATGGCTTGGCATAACTGCCCTGAGTGACCTTGTGTCCCTAACCCTTAGAGATGTTTTCAATTCCAAAGGTTGGGGCATTTCAAAACATCTTGTTGAGGTCGACCTGTCTGTGCTCGTTGTTCTGGTACTGACCATGCTGACACATCCTGTGAGTTGCCGCTCGTTTGCATTAACTGCAAAGGTGATCATGTTGCACACTCCAGGAATTGCCCAAAATTGTCCCAGGAAAAAGAGATCTCAATCTGTAAAAGTTTTGCAAAACCTGACCTTTAATGAATCGTCACCGCCCATACACCTCGTCCGGGCGTGTCGTATTCCACGGCTGTTAAGACTTCTTATTGCTCTGTCGGTACGCAAACTGAATCTCCAGCACTAACATTTGCTTCCAACAAACAAAACACGCCATCTGATCAGACACCCTACTTTAACTTTGCTGCACCTTCCACATCCAATAGAATTGCATCACCTCCCCCTACAAAAACTTCGAACACTGACAACGCTGTTAAATCACGGCTTGCTCCAAAGCAGCACCCACATATAAAATTTTCACCCAGTCAAAAGCCAGGTCTTCCTCGTAAAAAATACACTAAATATAATCAGTATATAAATCAAACCGCATCTAGTACTCTGCAGAATATCGCTCATGGGCTGCAATAGGGGCACAACTCAAAAAACACACGTTTTGGACTAAGAACAGGTGTAAATATGAAAATACACATTCTTTCAGCAGCAATACTTGCAAAACTAATACTTCAACTTGAAGGTAATCTTCGTTTAAGCAAACTAAAGCATTTCTTATGCATTTTGATTCGCAATGAAAACTTTAAACCCACTTATCTTAAAACTTGATTTTTTGAGTTGTGCCGCTATTGCAGCCTATAAGCGATATGGATTGTGAATTTGAAATCACACTGCATCCTTCCGATGAGGAAGACTTATTTGACTGACCTCCAATTAATGACATTCCTTCCAAATCATTTTCATCATAATTTCCATACATTTTATCTCTTGGAACTGTCGTGGAAATCGAAACAAGACTTCTGATGTCAAAGATCTATTTTAAAATACCAATCTACAGCTTTATGACGCACTAAACGCCATCAGAAAAATTTAAATTACGTGAGTACTCTTGGACCTGTAATGATTTCGACAATGGGAGTCGACCTCATGGCGGTGTTGCAATTTTAACTTCAATTGCTTTTCCATCAACTCACCTTTCACTTTCGACCTCATTACAGGCTACCGCTGTTCAAGTTCAAATTAATTTTCTCCTCACAATCTGTTCTGTCTATCTACTTTTTCATGCATCCGTTTTCCAAACAGATTTGTTGTTGTTGTTAATTTACGTCGCACTAGAGCTGCACAATGAGCTATTGGCGACGGTCTGGGAAAAATCCCGGAGGATGATCCGAAGACATGCCATCACAATTTTGATCCTCTGCGGAGGGGGGTGGTACCCACGCTTCGGTAGCCCGACGACCTGCGCGCGAAGTCGAGCACTTTACGATAGCACAGTTTAACTAGTACCAATACCACACACCCTCGGTCCCTACGCAGACTGATCCAAGTGGTCACCCACCCACACACTGACCGTAGCCAGTGATGCTTGACTTCGGTGATCTGCTGGGAACCGTGTCTTAACGATCAGTCCACTGCGGGACCCAAATAGATTTAAAGTCACTGATTGATCAGTTACCTTCTGTTTTGCTCGGATATTTTTAATGGTCACTGTGAATTGTGGAGTAGTTCCGCCTCCAATGAAAGGGGGCGTAAAATTGAACAACTTATCCTGGACCCATAATCTCTGTTTGCTTAATAAAGGCGTAAAAACTTATTTCCATACACCTACGTGAACTTTCCACGCCATTGATTTAGCTTTACGTTCACCGGTCCTCTTACCTTTCCTGAACTTTACTGTGAGTGATGATCCCCATAACAGCGATCACTTCCCTCTTATAATTTCATGTTCTGCATCTGTTCCCATGAGCCGAAAACCATCAACTTACGTATTTCGTCGCGCTAATTGGCCAGAATCTGCTCAGATCACAGATGATATGGTATCCAAGCGGCAGAAGATAGTATACCCAAGTCGTCAAGTTCGCTTCCTGGCCATCGCAAGCTGTGGTGGAATGAGGAATGTGCTGCTGTTTATAAAAAGCAGAGACGCTTGTGGAACATCTTCTGCCGTTACCCTAACATTGCCAACCTTTTACCCTTTAAACAGGCTAAAGCAATTGCCCGAAAAGTTAGGCGCAATAGTCAGAGACATTCTTGATGCCGTTACGTCTCTTCTATAATATCTTCGACTTTTCCCAGACAAGTTTGGTCGAGACTCAAAAGAGCTAACGTCATATACCGTGAATTTCACCCTCCGGTATTCAAACGAAACGGTACCATTTACTCATCTCCTGTCGACGTCTGTAATATGCTTGGTGAGATATTTACTGCTGTCTCTAGTCCAGAAAGTTACAGTGCAGCATTTCAATACCATAAGCAGATTGCCGAACGGAATAACATCAACTTTGATACGTGCCGTCTCTTCCACTAAAACAGTAATTTTAATTTTGTGGAATTACGGTGAGCACTTTATCAGTTTCATTATACAAGCCCCGGTCATGATGGTATCACCTATCACATGCTCCGCCACTTAGATCGGAAGTCGTTGTCAAATGTCCTCGTTCTATTCAATAGAATATGGGCGGAACAAACACCCGTCTGATTGGCTTGAAGCAAGTGTGATACCCATATTAAGAGCAGGTAGAGACTCTGAAGATCCTGTTAATTATCGCCCTGTAGCTTTAACCAGCTGTCTTGGGAAAACGTTTGAGCAGATGGTCAACTCTCGCCTGATAAACTACCTCGAAAAAAATCATCTCATACCTGACTTCCAGAGCTGTTTTCGAAAGGGAAGATCCACGATTGATAATATCGGTGCTCTTGAGTCAAGAATTCGTAACGATTTTTTTCCGACGTAACCATTTTGTTTCTATCATCTTTGATATTGAGAAGGCGTACGATCGGACATGGCGATATGGAATTCTTAAGACACTCTACGACATGGGACTTCGTGGAAATCTACCCATCTTCCTTAAGAACTTTCTGTCGAAGCGGTATTTTCGAGTAAAACTGGGAACTTCATTTTCTGATTTCTTCATTCAGGTTGAAGGTGTCCCTCAATGCAGTGTTTTAAGAGTCATACTTTCCATTACTCATGTTTCATTTATCCTGAATGTACTTCCACATTCCGTATTTGGTTCA